AATAACAGGTCTGGCCGAAACTAGGGTTGACTTTTTCCTAATTCGAACCAGACCTTTTCTCTTCTTCTTCCTCTTTCTTCCTTCTTTCCTCTCTTCCTTCTTGCTGTTTACTTTACTTTTCAGCTAACAAACAAAACAGACTTCTAGGGCAGGCCGAACTTGAACAAAAAGAAAGGAGAGCAATGATCTGGCCGCCCCCTTCACTTATTATTTATATGAAAAATAATAGAGCAGTACAAAGACAACTATGCCCTTATAGGGTGGCAAGACATAAAACAGCATATATAAGATACATAAACATTATAAAATTTGGACTCACATAACTACTGTGGTCCCCACCTCCTATCTAACAACTAACATAAAACATCTACTCATAAAAAACATCATAAAACTGATTAAGCTTCAACAAGTTCCATATCTGACACCTTGTCTAGGCATGTCCTAGTCATATCTAGGTAACATAGTATAAAAGTTGTCAATAAAAGAGTCTTTTAAACATGTGGCAAGGTCTTTTAGCTGGAATTTTTTCTATGAGAAAATGTGGGGAGGGGAACATGGAGATTCCTTTCAAGCTCTGAAATAAGTTGCCACAAGAAGATTCATAGAACATTCAGGAACACTCACTAAAAAATACCATGTACTTCAAGAAAATTTTTCTTGATAGGCGTGAAGAAATAATTCATTAACCACCTTACCTTACATGTTACAGACATGTCAGCATAAACACTCAAAAGGGGACTTCTGCAATAAAAAAAAAGATAATAAATAAATCCAGTATTAGATGAATGGAATTCATTAGGAAAAAGAACCCCAAAAAAACTTGCCTTCAAACTACACAATCAAGCAAAATACTCCCAAGACTCAAAATGGCAAAACTAGAAAAATAGCCAACCCATATTACTACAAGAACAATCCTTAGGCTGACAATTCACACAAACCCTTACAGTAAAGCTCCTAACCTAGAAAACGTCAATAGACCAAAATCAGGCACTAAAAAGATGATGCATAAGCAACATTGATGATTAAAAAACCAAGAAAAAAAAAGAAACATGTGCCTTAAGGTGGGAAAAGGGATGTCCATCTCAACTAATGTCATACAACAAGAACTGTGGGTTGAAACACATCAAACTTTAGTCACGCATGAGAAATCTTCTCAAGCACCTGATTGGTTGATACTACCTACATTTTTCTGCAAATTTGTGATGCATAGATCACATATAATCTCAGTCCATTTTTTTGGACAACCCATTAGTTTATACCAGCAATTTTCTTGAATTATTTTCTGGTCCAAATGTGAATCTAGACAATGTGCAACTTGGTTTGGCTCAGGTATGCAATATCAGAAAGATTTGGTGAAATTAACCTGTAATCTTCCATTTTTCTGGAGGCAATACAAAATATTGCAAGGATATTTTTTTCCTAGTATATCTAACGTATTTCTGATATATTGATGATATTTCAAATTTTATTGATAAACTATGCTTTTAAGATTGAAGGGATTGTGAAAGCAATGTATTCAGGGCCAATTGGTGAAGAAGATTCTATAAGGGCTGAAGTAACTCTACAATTATTCACAACTCAAAAGAAGATGCCTTTATTAAGAGTTCTTAGCTGACCTGCTGAAAAGTAGATGATCATATGTATTCTTCAATTTCCTATCAAACCTGCGTATTCAACCACAAGAAAGCATTCAAATGTCAGTTAAAGGTATCGAAAACAGCAGCATCAAAAATAGTTTGTCAAACATTGAAGAGTTGATATTGGCATACTGATTAGGAAAAGTGGGCCAAACACCAAAAATCACAAAAGAGAACAACACCAAATATCAAGGTTCATGACAAGGCATCTTAGGCCAACAAAAAAGTGGGCTTAACTTGTATTTTTCTGGACAGTGATTTTTGGCCAATTAAACCAAACCGTATGGTGGCCTACTCAGTTCAATCTCCCATTGGATTTTCCACCTAAATAAACACGATTGGCAATCTGCATAATCTTTCTGTAGTGCATGTAGGTTGGGTTTGATGTGTTCAGCCATGCAGTTCACATGGATGATGTCTATGACATCAGATCTATTTTTAAAAAAATCATCATGAAGTTAATGGGCAAACTACAAAGTCTTACTAACAAGTGAAGACATCAGGATGCAATAATGAATTTTCGAATTGTTACTTTAGTTTTAATTTAAACTAGAATTTTAATGTTTTATACATGTAAATGAGATCTATCCTTTCATTCAGTGTTTTAAAAGGCGTGGGAGGCGTGTGCGCTTCCAGGTGTATGCCAGAGGTGCCCCCAAAATGCCCTGAGGCATATGCTAGAGGCGTATGCCTGACATTTTTTTTCATGAGGCATGCTAAAGGCGTACGCCTCATGCACACCTCATGTAAAATGACAGAAAAAAAAGGAAAGGAAGGAAAAGGAAAAGAAAGGGAAGGGGAAGAAAAAGAAAGAAAGAAAAGAAAAGAAAAGGAAAGGGAAGGGAAGGGAAGATAAAGGGAAAGAAAGTGGGCTGGGGGCTTCCTCTTCTTTCAACTAGTGCTATGCATCTTCATTTTTCTTAATATAAAGGATTTTTATTAAAAATAAAGAAAAATGAGATTTTTCTTCCTCTTCTTCCTCCCCATCCCCCCTCCTCTTAAGGAGGTGTACGCTTCCTTGTGTTTGGGAGGCTTATGCCTCTTACGTTTTGAACTATGACTCGTGCCTCTAGGTAGTGGAACACCTCGTGTCATGCCACCGCGTTTTAAAACATTTCTTTCATTTTGTTTTATTGCAACTTTCTCTCCTAGAGACATGTACTCATTTTAGTTCAATTTATTTATTTATTGTATGTTTCAATAGACTGTTATGTCCCAGAAATTTGACACGCAGTTCACAGACTCACAGCAGAACCTAAACCACTAGTACTTCAACAGGGAACTGATATTCATTCAGAAGAAAAGAGGATCACTTACAGTAGGTCGGTTCTTCGAGAGACCGCCGGCTCTCCCAAGCACTCTCAGAATTCTGTACTCAGAAAAAGTCTGTCTTCTCCATCCCCCAAAGCCCCTTCTTATACACATCTTACAGCATAACTGCCTTCCATAATAAATGCCCAGCTGGCCGAAATATAAATGCCACACTCTTCTTATTCCCACTAACAAGCTATAAATGCTAAATGCCCTATACTCTTCCTATTTTCAACTGACAAGTTATAAATGCCACAAAAACTCTCCTTATTCCCTCCAGCCATAAATTCCCCCATGTTCAATTATTTCCCCCCCTTGGCCGCCAGTTGACCTTTCCCCTTCCTGGTGTATGTAAAATTAATTGGGGGCCTATCATAGTCATTATTTTAATGTTTTCACTTAGTTCACTTTTTCCTCTTCGGTTTTATTTAGGTTGATTTTCTGTCAGCCTATGTTCAAGGGTTTGGTTTGGATTTTTTAATCTATGTATTCAGCTCTTTATTCTCTTGATGTCCCAGATTTTTATATAAGTTAAGTTCAGCTAGAGGACCTGCTTTGCATTTAATTTTAGCTAACTTGGATAAAAGAAACCAAAAACTATTTGTTTTTTTGATATAAGTTCAGTAGAAAAAGAAGAGAAAAGAAGGTCACGAACAGAAGAGAAAAAGAGAGAAGAAGAAGAAGAGAAAAGGGTGCGGTTAGATGATCTTGCCGCCCCATCTGATTAGTATTTATATGTTTGTAACTCAACATTAGTGGAGTTACACTAATACCCCTGCTGAAACAGAAATAAACATAAAACAAATATATCTGGGCTAACTATCTCTACACTCCCCCCTCAAGTTGGGAGTAGATATTAGTCAGTCCCAACTTGTGTAAATCTGTCTCCAACTTGGTCTTTGTAACCGCCTTAGTGAAGAGATCGGTTAGTTGCATATCTGAGGCAATATAGGGAAGAAACACTTCTTTATGCAACTCTCTCAGATAAAGTGTCGGTCCACTTCAATACGTTTAGTTCTGTCATGCTGTATCGGATTGTGAGAAATTTTCATTGCAGCTTGATTATTGCAATACAACATCAGAGGCTTCTCATATTCAACACCTAGTTCATCAAGTAAAGATCACAACCATAACACTTCTGCCACTCCATTAGCAATAGATCTGTATTCAGCTTCAGCACTGGAACGAGCAACAACATTTTGTTTCTTACTCCTCTAGGAAACAAGATTTCCCCCTACAAAAGCACAATACCCAGAGGTATATCTCCTATCATCAACACAACCAGTCCAATCAGCATCTATGTATATAATGTATGCTCCTATTTTCATGTGACCATTATTCTTGAAGAGTATACCTCTCCCTGGGCATCTCTTCAGATAGGCAAGTAGCCTTTCCACTGCAAGAAGGTGGGTGGTTTTGGGAGAACGCATGTACTGRCTAACAACACTGGTAGCATAAGAAATTTTTGGTCGTGTTAGGCAAAGATAAAGAATTTTCCCAACCAACCATTGATACATCTCTTGGTGAAGAAGTTGCTTAAGGGAGTCAATCACACCAATGTCACTTCCCGTCACTACAATATCATCAACATAGACAGCAAGCAATGTTAAAGAGGAGTCTATTTTCTTAAAGAAGAGTGTAATCTGATTGAGCTTGAACATAGCCAAATTTCTCCAAAGGCAGTATAAGTCTATCAAACCAGGCTCTTGGAGACTGCTTCAGCCCATATAAAGTCTTCTTTAGTCGGCAAACCTTCTTTCTTGCCTCTGCACTATAAAAGCTAGGGGGCAACTCCATGTACACCTCTTCTTGTAGATCTCCATTGAAGAATGCATTCCTAACATCCATCTGAACCAATGGCCATGAGAAATTTGCAGCAATGAATAATAAGACTGATAGTATTCATCTTGGCTACTGGTGCAAACGTCTTCAAATAATCTATGCCATAAGTTTGTGTGAACCCCTTTGCAATCAATCTGGCCTTATATCTCTCTACGGAGCCATCAACATTATATTTTACTGTAAACACCCATCTACACCGAATAGGTTTCTTCCCCTTAGGTTGGTCAACCAACTCCCATGTATTGTTTTTAACAAGAGCATCCACTTCTACTTTCATTGCATCTTTCCACTCAGGTATCAATAAAGCTTTCTGCACTATTCTGGGAATAGAAATAGCAGCAATAGAGGCCATGAAAGATCTATAGGATTGTGAAAGACAATCATAAGAGAGAAATTGGGAGATACAATGAGTAGTGGATGAAGTACAATGACGCTTCCCTTTACGAACTGCAATTGGGAGATCAAGGTCATCTGAAGGTAGGGGCCGAGGCTCAACATTGTTAGGTATATCATCTGTAACAATGAGCTCAGTGGACTTAGCAGTGAAGGTAGTACTTGGATCTGGAGCTGTAGAAGGAACTAGGATCAGCCTGGATTGCTGAGGACCAAATCAACCTGCCTCCACCATCTGTGAAACACCTTCAATTCCCTACACTTTTGACAACCCTCTTCTCCACTCTCCCCTTTAGTGATTGGAATAGGTAACGAAACTTCTGGGGCTGAATTACCCCCCTCACTACTCTCCCCCTGAGAAGAGACCCTATGATAGTAGGGCACATCCTCAAAGAATGTCACATCCATGGATACAAACCATCTACCAGAAATAGGCTCATAACAACAATACCCCTTTTTGATTTTGTGTATACCCAAGGAAGATACATTTGGTAGATTTGGGATCAAATTTGGAGCGATGAGGTCCAAAAATTTGAACAAAACAAATACACCCAATGATCACAAAATATCTCCATTTTATCTTCTTCACTTTCCTTTCCTTATCTCCCCCAAATTTTGGTTTTTTTGCTGCTAAGGCTGATTCCATAGGCTGAAACTATAACATCACCTTTCTCCTACTCTCTTCACTGTACACTAGTGAATAGGCCTGAGACAATGTCAGACTCTCCCTGGTAAGTAGTTGTTGTCTTACAATGTCAAATTCTGAATTCAGACCGGCTAGGAACTCAAACACTTAGTTTGTTTCAATCATCTTGCTATAAGTTGTTGCATCTCTCTGACTTTCCCACTCAATTGTCTCCAAGTGGTCAATTTCATGCCAAAGAGACTTCAACGTAGCAAGTAAATAGAGACTAGCTTCTCCCCCTGCTTGAGATTATTCACTTCACACTTCAGTTCATAAGCCCTAGCAACATTAAGGGGTTGGGGGTATTCTCTTTCATATTGTCCCAAATCTCCTTGGCTGTTTTTGCCCATAAATAATTTCAGCTAATGTGAGGCTGCATTGAATTGCACAGCCAAGTCATCACCAAATAGTTCTCTTGAACCCATTTGGCATGTGATGTGTCTTCCTTGGCTGGCTTCTTTATATCCCCAGTCACATAGCCTAATTTGCCTCTACCTCCAATGGCCATCATAG